CAAGCAAACATTGTCTAGCGTTCTTGCACTAACTCCAGAAATACTCCATTTGAGAAACTTGGCAGAAGGCCCTATCCAAAGCGCAAATGATTGGCACACATACTTCGTGAACGGATATAAATTTCACACTGAGGCATGGACCGAAGGGAAAAAAACCATAAATAGTGGTGTTTTTGTAAAAGGAGTTACAGATGGCGGTGAAGACGACTTCTATGGATTTGTTAAACATATCTACGAGTTGGTATACAATTACTTGGACACGGAAAATAAAGTTGTCTTGTTTTATTGTGAATGGTATGATCCAACTAGAGGCACAAAGATAGACAAGTCATATGGTTCTGTCGAGATTCAAATGAACCGGAGATACAAAGAATATGACCCTTTCATAATGTCACATATCGTTAGGCAAGTTTATTATGTTCCTTATCCTTCATTTGTAATACGTAAAAGAGGATGGTGTGTTGTAATAAAAACAAAACCGCTAGGTCATATTGAAACTGGAGATCTAGTGGAAGATGTTGCCTACCAAGTTGATGACGTTGAACAGATTAATGATGTGGTTGCAGCTGAAGACATTACAACTTTGTCTGATACAACTGTTGAGGGACTTCAAGTTGATGCGTCTATATTGTTGGTTGATAATAATGTGGATGAAGACAATGATGAAGAGTTTGAATCCGAGGACAATATTACATCGGATGATGAACATGATATGGATAACGAGTATGAAGATTTAGATTAATTAATCACTTAATGTAATGTTAATGAATATCTATTGAACATGTATATATTGAATTTGTCAATGAATATATATTTATGTCAATGACTTTATTATCTTTGTTTATGAAAATATATATAACTAGGTAAAATGCCACCGAAGAATAAGGATAGCGGTAAGAAGTCTCAGCGTCCGAGGGTAGTAACATGTGAGTCTCCTCACTCAGCCATGTGCCCACCCTCTCAGAGTCAGGTTGATCCTATGTCCCTGGCCAGTACTCAGGGTTTTGTCCCATTACTCTCCTCCCATACATTCCCGTCTGGGGTACCTGCATCTTTTGTGCCACCTGGAGGCCCCGGTTTCCTTTTCCCATAGACTCAGATGCTGTCTTCCTTCCAGCATGCGGGAAGATCTAGTTTCCCTTTCCCACCGACCCAGATGCCGTCATCCTTCCAGCAGGCGGGAGGATCTAGTGTTCCTTTCCCACAGACTCAGATGCCATCTTCCTTCCAGCATGCGGGAGGATCTAGTTTCCCTTTCCCACCGACCCAGGTGCCTTCATCTTTCCAGCAGGCTGGTGTCCCCTCATCATTCCAGCAGACGGGGGGAGGACCCAGTTTTCCATTTCTACAGACTGGCGTGCCTTCATCATTCCAGCAGACGGGGGGACCCATACAGATGTCTTCATCCTTCCAGCAGGCGGGAGGGTCCAGCACCCCACACTCCACACACATTGGAGGACCCAGCAGTCCACGTCCGACACAGGCTGCAGGATCCCGCGCCCCACGTCCTAGATGGACCGGAGGGTCACGCACCCCACATCCCACACAGGCTGCAGGATCCAGCACCACACTTCCTACACAGGCTGACGGTGATGCAGATATGGTAGATGATGATATAGATGGAGCTGATATTCGTGAGAGAGATGATCCGAGTGAGATTCATGTCATTGACGGGAGGTTTTGGATTTGGCCCGAAGGAAGCAAGTAAGTTTCTTATATAAACTTTTATTTAAGTACATATTCATTTTAATATTTTGTATAAATTTATAATTAATATTGTTTATTCAAAATCTTGTTGTTTAGTTTCGCGCCGAGTCGGACGGCTGCCAAGGTTATTAATTATATAATCCAGCAGATGTATAAATCATCTTGGAAGAACTTTGGCGAGGTTACAAATAAAGAAGAATGGTTTAAAAAATTTAAGGTATTGTTATTTATTTAAGTTGTAAATTTAATATATTTTTTTAGTATTGTTATTTAAGTCACATTTTAATGATAATTACTTAACTTTTTATTTTAATGTCATACAACATTGTAGGAAAAATGTGTGTGGGATCCGTTGAATGAGAAAATTATGGAAAAAATCTATTATAGCAGAACTTCTAGAAGATTTTCTGATATAATGCGGCGGGTTAGGGAGAATTATGAGCTGCATGGTATCCGTCCTAACTGGATAGGCGTAGAGGTTTTTGGTGAACTTCGTACATATTGGGGTTTGCCAGAATTCAAGGCCAAATCCAAAAATTTTAAGAAGATGAGGGCATCCGAAAAGGGGGATGTGTCAATACTGTTGGAAGTATTAGCACTGCAGAGCATGTCCGGCGGATGGTAAATATTACTAATTTTTTAAGTTATATATATTTTTATTCATAATATTTTTTACTAATTATTTTTAACTTTATTGTTTTGACTAAGGAGATGGGGAGACCACCATTGATCAATGAGTTGATTACGAGGACTCGGACAAAGAAATCGGGAGGTTTTGTCGACGACCGCACCAAGAGAGCTTTTGTAAGTAATTTAACTTATGTTTTTTTTTAAGTTAATAACAAAAATAGTGACGTTATTTTCACGTGGCAATCTATAAGTTGTGGCGTGATTATCATGTGGCAACTGATAAATTGCCAGGTGACTGATTTTCATGTGGCAACTAATACATTGTCACGGGAAAATCACGTGGCAATTCATAAGTTAATTTGTGAAAATCACGTGACAAATTTTTAATATATTTGAATTTAGTATAATTTAATATATAAATGTTTTAATTTAGCATAAATTTAATATATATATATATATATATATATATATATGTAATTTTTTTTTAATTGTATTATTTAATGTATGTGTAGGATGATTATCAGACATTGCTAGCACGTTTTCTGGAACACAATCCGCAATATAGGCCAGCAGAAGGGGAGCCGCTTAATGGTGATGTTGATTTCTATATTTGGAATGAGGTTGTTAATGGAAAAGGGCCTAATGGTTACTTTTTTGCGGGAGGAAATTTGGCCGCCGGCTTGAGAGTTGGTGACTGTAATCTGTTTCAGCGACTTAGAGATGGAGAAGAGGGGTCACGTCAACCGAATCTGACACAGGTTCAACTTGAAACAGTAAGACAATTGGCGGCAAGTGAAGTGAGGCGCGAAATGGAGGCCCAAATGACGACAATGAGGCAAGACCAGGAGCAGCAGTTAGAGATCATGCGGAAGAGGCAATCTGATATGGAGGAGCAGATAAGACGGTTTATGCAAGGCAGTGGAAATCAAAATGTTCCTGATCATATACACAGCCGAATGATGACGGAATTGATGACTTTGATCTTGATAATTATCCGGGTGAAGATGCCCCGTGAAAACATTTTATTTATTTCGTTTTTATATTTGCATTTATGTAAGATATTTATTTTTATCATTTTAAATTATTAAATTATATAACATTTTATTATATGACTTTATTTTATAAAATTCTATTATTCGAAATATAAAATAAAATACTATTATTCTAATAATTTTAATATATAAAGTTTATTATATAAATTTTATTATATAAATTTTATTATATAAATTTTATTATATAAATTTTATTATTTAAATTTTATTATATAAATTTTATTATTTAAATTTTATTACATTAATTAATTAATATAAAAAATAATTACTAAACAATTTTTAAAAAAATAAAAACGTCACCTGTAGCGACGTGGGAATCATGTCACAAATTAGTGACATGATTCTCACGTCGCAACTAAAACTGCTTTGTCAGATATTATATTCCCTACAACAAAGCTGTTGCGACGTGAATACCACGTCACAACTTTGTGACGTGGGAATCACGTCGCTACTGGCTTGCCACTGGCTCCCCAGCGACATAAGTCTCCACGTCGCTAATTTTGTTTTGCCACGTGATTTTGATGTTTGTCACGTGATTTTCACGTGACAAATAAGCTTCTTTTTTGTAGTGCACTGAAATGACATTTTGGCCCATTTTCCCCTTCCATGGGTACCCCTCGCAATGACTTTTTTCAAAAATAAAAAATTTCCCTCTTTTCATTTTGCGAGGGGTAACCCCACGCTATTTTTTTTTAATTGTGCGCTGCAATGGACATTACCTCAAACAACGTGATTTTTTAGTTTAGGGTTTTACCCCTGACTAATTCTTCTGGCTATTCAAAGTTTTTCTTGTAGTGTAAATCACGTAGCATTATTTCTTGATTATGTTATGATTCTTGAGTTAAATTCTACTATTTGTTATGTACTCCCTCCCTCTCTATTCTCCTTTATAAAAAAAAAATTAACTTTTCATATTCATTCAATAATTTAGTCTAAATACATCATTTATTCAATAAATTTAAAAAATCAATTTTTTCTTATAAAAGAAAATGAAAGAAATAATATTTATGTCTTAACTGATACAAGTAAATTTGATTTTTTTAACATATTTAACAATTAATGTATCTAATTTATAGATATATTAAAAATGTTAAATTTACTTATAACAAACCATATATTTTCATGCTATTTTTAAACAGTATTTGTCATAGAAGCTACTATCTCTATTCTTTTTTATAAAAAAATACATTATTTTTTAAATTTATTAAAAAATAATATATTTGATCATAGACTAAATACATTGATTATTCAATAAATAAATCTAAAAAAATAAATTTATCTCTTATAAAAAAAAAGAATAAAGATAGTATTGGACGCCTTATCTCCTAGTTTTAACTACTGCAACAGTTAAGCTGAATTTTCTGGTGAGCAATATGGAATTGGCCTTCTTGACCAAACAACACGTGCTCTATGTACATCCAAAAACAACGTGTGCATGTCCTCTGTCTCTATCCACCTCATATATTCAACTTTGAACAAACCATTTCCATATTTAAACGCTATTAATGGAAAACCAACCTGCATCATTTCACTCACCAAAGTCACTCTCACACCAAATAAACCTTTTAATAGAACATACTCTACTGTTAAACATTAAAAGAATCAATCAATATGGAAGATCACACACAATTAACTAATGTTCCTCTTCAAAACCTCTCACAACTAAGCACCAAAATGGATTCTCTTCAACGCTTCATATCCCAATCCATCAAAGCCAAAACTCTCCTCCCTAAACAACACTTAGACACACTCTCCAACCAAATCTCATCGACCATTTGCGACGTCATAATCAATGCAACTGCTCTTCTCGCCACGTGTCCCGTAACACTACCGGTAGATTGTTACGCGACACCTGACAAGAATCATGACCATGACGTAGCAAATTATGAACATTCCAACATCGTGGAACTCGACGCTGTGGAGTTACTCGCGAAGCATTATCACTTCTGCGAGATATGCGGGAAAGGATTCACGCGCGACGCGAATCTGCGTATGCACATGCGTGCTCACGGGGAACAGTTCAAGACTGCAGAAGCGTTGCGTTGCGTGAGGGAAACGCGCTTAACCGCGACAACAGCGACGAGATTTTCTTGTCCTTTCGAAGGATGTAAAAGGAACAAGCTACACAAGAGGTTCACGCCGTTGAAGTCGGTGTTCTGTTTGAGGAACCATTTTAAGAGAAGTCATTGTCCGAAAACTCACACGTGTGATCGGTGTCGGAGGAAGAGCTTTGCGGTGGTTTCGGATTTGAAGAGTCATGTGAAGCAGTGTAAGGGAGAGTCGACTTGGAAGTGTTCGTGCGGAACTACGTTTTCTAGGAAGGAGAAACTGTTTGGACACGTGGCACGGTTTGAGGGGCATTCACCGGTGTTTGATGAGGCGGCGGGAGAAGAAGGGAGTGGACAATCCGTGGCGGCGGAAGGGGAAGGTGTGAACGTGAGTGCAATTTTGACTAAGGAAAATGATGGGTTACCTGAAGGTTTCTTTGATGATTTGGATAAGTTTTGGGTTTGACTTTGACCCCTTTTGGAATACTACTTTCTTAGGATTTTTGCACAATAAAATCTTGACATTTATTTAAAAATTAATAAATGAATTTGTATAATGTTCCTTGATCAATATTATTTAGTAGACTAATTTAAAGTCATTTTTAATTAGGCTTAGCTCTTTGATCAACTTTATTTGGTAGAATAAGTCAAAAGTCATTTTTAATTAGGCTTAATCATATCAATAAATATTTGTGAGTAAAAGTCACTTTGATTTTAATCTTTTGAAAATTAAAATTTTAATTAAATATTAAACATGTTTAATCATTTATAAAAACAAATTGTTTTACTGAGATTAAAAAGCAAAAATAAAATTAGAAATTTAGATCAAGGGCATATAAGAAGTGAATCATGTTGAGACATCAGTTTTAATGATAATAAATTGAAAATTTTATGTTAAGGAGTTCTTAATTTTTTTTCCTTCGCATTCTGGTTTTAGGGGAAAGCGGCTGTAGTAATTTACAATTCGTGTTACAGAAGCACGTGTACTGACTGTAACACTCTGATTTTTAACTGTTATTATTTAATTATTTTATTAATTATTTTATTAATTATTATATTATATAGTAATTGATTTAATTGTGTGATTTGGTGAATATTTGAATTATTTGAATATGTGTGTTATTTGAACAATTTGAGTTATATGTGAGAATAGTAAATAATTAGAATTGGGATTTATGTCATAATAGAATAGATAAGTGGAATTAGACCCATTAATGAAATAGAGTAGTAAGAAGAGGGATTAAAATTAGTGTTGTCATAAAACAAAAAAACGAAGAAGAGAAGAGGAGAAAGAGGAGAAAAGAAGAAAAGTGAAGAGACAATCCTAAAGACTATACACTCAAGACACTATGCCAAAATTGACTTTAGACAGCGCCACAAAGACAACGCTTATGCCCTAAGCGCTGCTATAGGTTTTCAGTAAAAAAAATTAAAAAATTAGAATAAGCGCTGCTAAAGGTATATTATAGACAGCGCTTATTATAAGCGCTACTATAGGCCTTACCATAGACATCGCTTTCTTTCCCTAAGCGCCGCTATAGGTTTTCAGTAAAAAAAAATTTTAAAAATTAGAATAAGCGCTGTCAAAGGTTATACTTTAGACAGCGCTTACTAAAAGCGCTGCTAAAGGTGTTGTTCTAGGAAGCGTTGCTAAAGCCTAAAGCGCTGCTAAAGGGTATACCTTAGACAACGCTTTCCAGAAGCGCTGCTAAAGGGTATACCTTAGACAACACTTTCCATAAGCGCTGCTAAAGGCATTACTCTAAAAGCGCTGCTAAAGCCTAAAGCGCTGCTAAAGAGTATACCTTTAGCAGCGCTTCTTGAAAGCGCTGTCTTAGGTAATTAAATAGTGTCTTAATCCCTAAATTGGTTATCAGATTTCCAGAAATCCCACATTGTACAAACGAAACCCCACCGTGGTTCTTCCTCCAGAAATCGCTCCTGTTCATCTTCTTCTCCAACTCGTCTCCTCCCATTCACCGTCCAATCGTGGTTCTTCCTCCAACTCTTCTCCAACTCGTCTCCTCACCGTCCAACCGTGGTTCATGCCAGAAAGCTTCTAATTTGTTGTCTCGTTATAGAGAAACTGATTCAAAAACAGTGTGAGCCTTTACCTAGAAGAAGAAGTTTCGCAAAATCGGTTTCATCTAAGGTAAAATTTCTTCATCCTTTTCCGGTTTCACTATGAAAGCCTGTTAGTAATAAAACAGTGAATCAGAATGGTTTTAACTGCAAGAGTTTCGAGTGTTTGAATGGTAGGAAACTGAATAGAGATTGTGTTCATTGCTTTGGTTTGGTTAATGGATATGAGAATCAAAGATTTATTAAGTCTAAGAGTAAGAATGATTTTCTTGTTGATGATGTTTTGCAATTAGGAAATGGTGGGATTAGAATAGGTTTTGATATTGGAATTGGTTCGGGGTCTTTTGCGGCGGTTATGGCTGAGAGGAATGTTACCGTGATTACTAGTACTCTTAATGTTAATGGTCCTTTCAATGAGTTTATCGCGGCGAGAGGACTTTTTCCGGTTTACTTGAGTTTGGATCACAGGTTTCCGTTTGTTCAATCTAGTATTCAACTTAGTAATAGTAAAAAATAACACAAATCATGAATCTTCGAATGAGTTCACAACTAAGCTAATGTCTCTAAAATTGTAACGTTGACGATCATTGATTGAATATGTTATAGGACCACAACAGTAACATGAACTAGGCCTTTAAGGTTGGACCACATTCGTGGCTATGCTCCTTTCACTCACACGTTATAATCCTCATTTCTAGAATTGTTTTAATCACATGTTTGATTTTTGTTGACAACACACACTCTTTAAATTCATTGTACTCCCACCACATTGCTTATAATCCAAGTTAGTAATAATCAACACAAGAGGTTCACGTAACAATGACATATTCACTTGAATAATAAAAGCATACACTATAGATTAAAATGAAAATCTAATGTGTAGTGAGATTCGTGAACTTGTGGTTATGGTATTGATAATGTGAAGATAAAATAAATCATAATTAGGGTGTTCAAAAAATCCACGGAACTGAACTGAACCACAGAACCGAACTGAACCGTTTTTAAATAACCGAACCGTTATTCATGATTTATGAACCGAACCACATGTCATCAAACAGTTCAATAACCGAACTGAAACCATAGTTAACCAAACCATAACTTGCTGAACCGAACCGTAATTAACTACCCTTACTTATGATATGGTATTCCTTAGTTATGTTGGAAATTTAGATCAATTTTTATATTTTCTCCGAATTGATTTTTTAGAACTCAAATTTATTTAAATCCGTGTATACTTTGTGTTTTGACAGAAACGCATTATACCGTTTTGTGCCCTAATTAGTGTTTTTGTTTAACTTAGATAATAGTTAAAACCATGGATAAAAAATGGATGTGTGTCGATCGATTGTCAAAAGAGTACGAGAATGGGGTATTAGAGTTCGTTAAGTTTGTTGTTGAACACGCTGAAGACCCGAATAGAATGAAATGTCCTTGCTTGGGTTGTTGTTATATGGGTCGGGTTGACGCAGATGGATTGAAATCGCATTTACTAATGCGCGGAATTGATCGAAGTTATACGTATTGGATATTTCATGGTGAGAAAAGCATCGAGAATGTTGAACCGGGGGTGAAAAGTAATGCGACCTATGTTTCGTACGACAATGCCACGGATACATATGATTGTGATCGAGTCAAAGAGATTGCAGAAGCACTTGAAGAAGATCTTCAAGATTGTCCCAAAATGTTTGAGAGGTTGGTAAGCGATGCGGAGAAACCGTTGTATAAATATTTCCCCAAATTCACAAGATTGTCTGCGGTATTAAAATTGTACAACTTAAAGGCGCGCAATGGATGGTCGGATAAAAGTTTCACACAGTTATTAGCCCTTTTGAGAGATATGCTTCCTGAGGATAATGTTCTTCCTAATCGAACCTATGAGGCCAAAAAAATGTTGTGCTCTATTGGCATGAGCTATGATAAGATACATGCATGTCTAAATGATTGTATTTTGTTTCGAAACGAATATGCATCATTGAATGAGTGCCCAAAGTGCGGTTTATCTCGATATAAGAAACAATTATCTCCAGCGAAAGTCTTATGGTATTTTCCTATTATTCCGAGATTTAGACGCATGTTTCATAGTGAAACCGATGCTAGACACTTGACTTGGCATGCAGATGAAAGAATTATCGATGGAAAGTTTCGACATTCGGCAGATGCACCACAATGGAAGAAAATTGATAACGATTATCCTGATTTTGGAGGAGAAACAAGAAACCTTCGCTTGGCATTATCTACGGATGGAATGAACCCGCATGGTCTTTAAAGTATCTCACATTCCACATGGCCTGTGATTCTTATGATTTATAACCTACCTCCATGGCTATGTTTGAAGCGCAAGTACATGATGTTATCTATGTTAATTTCTGGGCCTAAACAACCAGGGAATGACATAGATGTATACTTGAAACCTTTAATCGAAGATTTGAAGATTTTGTGGGAGAACGGTGTGGAGGTTTATGATGGATATAGGAAAGAAAGTTTCAATTTGAGGGCGGTGTTGTTTGGCACAATTAATGATTTTCCAGCATATGGAAATCTATCCGGGTATAGCATTAAAGGTGAAAAAGCGTGTCCTGTCTGTGAAGATGGAACCGATACGACACGATTGAAACTTTTTCAGAAGAATGTCTTTCTCGGTCATCGTAGATTCTTAAATTCAAAACATCAATATCGTGGATGGAGAAAAGCGTTCAATGGAAATACCAAACAACGTAGAGCTCCACCTGGATTGACAGGTAATCAAATTTATGAAAAGGTGAAAGATGTGAGTATTCAGTTTGGAAAGCCTTTTGCACATAAAGTTGTCACAGGTGGGTGGAAGAAGAGGTCAATTTTTTTTGAATTGCCATATTGGAAATCTTTGTACGTAAGACATTTTCTTGATGTTATGCATATTGAAAAAAATGTATTTGAAAGTGTTATTGGTACGTTACTCAATATAAAAGGAAAGTCTAAGGATGACCTTAAAGCAAGATAGGACATGGTAGAGATGGGAATAAGAACTGAATTAGGACCCGTGAAGAAAGGAAGACGAACATATCTATCACCTGCTGCTTATACTCTATCTAGAAAGGAAAAGAAAATATTGTGTAAGTTTCTGAGTGAAGTTAAAGTTCCAGAAGGTTACTCCTCAGACATTAGAAGACTCGTGTCCATGAAAGACCTCAAGTTAAAGAGTCTGAAGACACATGATTTCCATGTCATAATGGAACATTTTCTACCAATAGGTATACGTTCTATTTTTCCAGAAAAAGTAAGAAGCGCTATAACTAAATTTTGTTTTTTTTCCAGGTCAATTTGTAGTAAGGTGATCGATCCTGAGATCTTACCAGTATTACAAAAAGAAATCGTTATCACTCTGTGTGACCTTGAAATGTATTT